GGTGCAGTTGGTACATCGGAACAAGGTTTCTATTTGAAAAGTTGTTTACAGAGAGAAAAATGTATACAAAAACACACATCACAGTAGAACTGTTATATTCCTCGCTACGCTCCGAATTAAAATTAATATTTTAAATTCATTATTTTAGTACGTTAAGTCGCTGTTGTAAAATACTCGCCGATAATGTTCTCAAAACTATTCTAAACTAAAATTCTATATCCATTTATACGCGCAAGAAAATCGAATATAAATAATGCCTTTTTTCTCAACGCATTGCACAGTATTAAAAAAAAAAAAAAAAAAAAAAAAAAAAAACATGTATACATATAACGTATTATAGTGCGTAAAGTACAGCCTGTATTTTACTAAGCAAAAATATAAATAAATGGAAAATTCCACGGATACTTATAAGTATTAAAACCCGTATAGGTACTTTCTATTACCATGCAGCACTGAGATACTACGTTGGATATTTCACTTAAACGACCTTTTTTGTTGCAAAATTCTATTCTACACTGTGTATATGTTCTATTGAAACGTTCGGTAGGATTAATACTAGTTACTGAGAAAAAAAATGACGTAACTAAATCTCCTTAGCAAAATAGTTTCCACTCAGACTATACCAGTCCGCTATGTTGTCGAGCTACACGTCCTTCTTAAATAAAAAAAAAAAAAAAATCTGATACCCTTTTTCATAAAAATCTCAAGAACTAAAGACTCTAACAATAGAAACAAATTACACAAATCTAAAGCTATTAAATTTTAAATTCTCCACGTCATATTTTACTACGTGATTCCTATACATGTTTTTATTTTACATTATAATCTATAATATTATTTATTTTTCAGTTTTTATTTATCATCGGCCATATATTACTACGGTTTGTTCTTATAAATAAATACATTTTAGTTTGTTTAGTATATAACTTTAGTGATGGGTGTACCGATGTTGAAGTTTAGAAGGTAAAATATATAAAATTGTTTAAGTTATATCTGTACACAATGATGAATTATTGATAACGAAATCCGTTTCTAAGAAATGTTTGATTAAACGTATTTTGAGCTGGCATAATTTTTGTTTAGATTTTCGTCGACACTTGAACTTAAAACGTTTATATAAAAAGGACCACTAGATTGCATTCAGCCTTTTTTGTTTCATCACTAAGCACAACTTTTAATAAACTTTGTGTACAATTTTGAAACATTTCTGCTCAGTAAAAACAATTTTTCCTACACAAAAACAAATGTAAACTAAAAAACTCGAAAACCTCAAATGCCTATAAATAACTCAAGAATCTCGAAAATGTTTTGAACATTTTACCACGTCTAGATAAGGTTAATATATTATGAATTCTGTGAAAATATCAAGCAGGACGATTATTTATTACTGAATTACAACAAAAAGAACAAAATCGAAATAATAAAACCGTTATTATTGTAAACTTTCCTGTTTTTTTTTTCCAATAGGTATTTTTCGATTATCAAGAAAACTATAAGTAAAATATAAACACAACCTGTCCGTTCGCCAATTAGATTTTAAATCCTAAAAAAAGGTTTCTAGTCGATTTTCGGATTGGAGCAAGAATTCGAATAGAAAAATTGTTCAGAAGCAAAAAATAAAAATAATAAAATCATAGAAGTATAACTATAGTAAAATAAATTCTTCCAAGAGCTCAAATTCGAAAAAGTAGTTAAAGATAAAATCGTTTATGTAAATTTTCTGTTATCGATCAATATTAAATGTTTGTGTTTATTTATTTAAATATATGATTTAAAATAATTCATATTATAAGTCACACACTATAATTTTTTTTTACGTGCTTTGATAATAATTAAATCTACATCAGTATAGAATATTATTGTAGTTATTTTTATTATTACAGTTAGGTTCAATAAAAGATATATCCTCTGCAGTTAAGCTATAAATACATTGTGATTCAATGTCAAATTGGTATGTAAATAGAAAACGATTTCGATTTATAAATAGTATGCCATAATATTATTAAAAGCTAATAAATCTAAATCCTCGCGAGATAAAAAACTTAAGTTTACCTTTTATTTTAGATATTGAGTAAAGTAAAAGAGCTCGTTGTTTAACAGTGATGGGTTTTTTTCTCACTTAAATGGAATGGATAATACAGAGTGATCCATTTATCACGAACTCGCGATTTTATCAGAGGAATTTCAGTGAATTCTATGATTTCTGTTTTTTTTTTTTTTTTTTTTAATCATTATCGAGTCGTTTTAGTTTCACTCTTTTAATTTTTTACTTCTAATTCTCATACTTTAAAAGCATATTTTTAGAAAAATATTCTTTATGCAAATCTATGTTTAAAGTGGTGTTCCTCTTTTAAAATCATGAGAAAATCACTTATATATGATAAATAGATAAATGGAAACCTCATTTTGTTTTTTTTGTGAACATAGATGTAAACAGACATATATACATAAAAATAAATGGAATTTAATCAATTTCTATACACTAAGTGAACGGATTATTTAATCATTTCATTTAAATTACATTATGAATTTTAAAAGTTCTATTGATTTTACAATATTTTTCAACGTGTTATTCCCAACATGACAAAATGTGCATTCTTGAATTTATAATAACGTAACTTTTGGCTTTTATCGATGATATTATTAAAAGCATAACTTTGCCTTCGTGTATACGCCAGTAAAATTTTGTTCAGTATCAAGTAATCACTAGAATATACAACGATCCATTGGTTAAAGGTTACATGAATAAGACTCAACCCTAATAAACACCGTACGCCCTTTTAAATATGTAACCACTCGTTTACTAATTATTCTACACGGTAAAATAAACAATACATGTTTGAAATATGCAACGGATTCAATTTACAACTTACTTTTACTTGTCGAATTCGTGCGTAATATTAACATTTTTAATAGTATCTATTATACAACGAAAATCGTTCAAAATTTAATAAAAATGACCTACTCTAAAACCTGTAAATTGAAGAATGAAATACCTTGAATATATTATTATAATGGTATTGGACAGCAAAGCGGAAAATTAGGTTATGATAGTGAATGATTAATAAATCGGTAGCAACAGTCTGAAACACTACGCGAATAGCCGCCAATTTAGGAGTAAACATTCACCCATATAAATAAAATGCACAAATAAGTAAGCCGTAAGTTTATGTGGGAAGTTGGGAAGGAAGGGTATATAAGACTATTCCATTTATATAACGTATATAACGATAAACGATTGCAAAAGAAAAATAATTTTGTGTGGAGTTCGGATAAACATTGTTTGATACGTTTAAATCAAACTTTGTATTGGCATTTAAATAAAAATGAATTAAATTGTTCGAGTTTTTAACGAATTTAAATATACATTAATATGAAAGATAAAAAAAAAAATATTTTTCTCCGTATAAATCAAAAAATCTCGAAAATACATATTCCATAAACATCTGGGTTAGTCGTCAGGTAACATTATTTTTGGCTGGATAATAAAAAAAAAAAAAACAAAATGAAAAATTAACTGTCATTGAGTATTCTGGTTTCCCGATATAATTTTCTCGGCTTTTCCCGGTTATAAGCATATTACAAAAAAAAAAATATTAAAAAAAATGACCTTCTCAATTTCCCAACCAAACGAAATTCGGTTCCACAAAAATAAACCTCTAATGTTTGAGCATCATTTCCGAAAACTGGTTTACAGAAACACATCATATCCATCAAATGTGTTGATGAATAATAATCAATACATTCATTACTTCGCTCGGAGTTTAAACCAACATAACGTAAAAGTAAACATCGCAAAAAAATTAATATTATTAATCAAAAAAAATGAAATATTGAAACCGTTGTAATAACTTAAAGTAAAGCCGTATATGAAAAAAGTTCTACAACCGGCGGCGATTTGAAACGATCACACTGCGCGATTTCATTCCCGAAAGCGCAGATGGAGTGACCCGTTTGTATTTTTAAAACAAATTTAAATACAAATACCCACTGTTCGAGTTTTAACATTTAATTAATTTGTATTATGTTGTATATAAACGGCGCGTAATAGAAAAATCCCGGAAAGTTCCCGTCACTACACAGCTGGCAATATAATATTTTCGCAATGCATCACCAAAATAGTTTTTAGGATAAAAGTTGATACTCGCAGATTTGTTTCGCTTTAATATCGTATTAGCGTAACACTGTATTGTTATTACTATTACGACGAATGAAAAGTTATAGAATAAATTAATATATAGGCTAATTTAGTTTATAATATACTCAAAACGACGAAAAATCATCGCTATCAAAAACCAATTCATAGAGCAGTTATCCAATAAGGCGAAATTGAAATATGAAAAAAAAAAAATAAAACAACATATAATCGTCTTAAGTTGTTAGAGTTTTGAATCTATGGATAAATCGTTCGAATAATGTATCACCGGGCGAAAAATCCACATCTTTTATTATACGGTTTGAATGATTTGGAACGTTTTTACCAGCCGAAAAAGTGTTTCCCGATGAAATACATTTTACCAAACCGCACATTTCGCTAACACAATCGGAATCAAAAAAATAGTAAAATATACGATATTTTCATAAAATAAAACTGAACAAAATATTATAATATTTTGTTATACGTTTTGCATATTATTAAATCACGTGTTCGTATTTTTTTTCTTTCACATTACATTCACAAGCATTTCATTTTTTTAAAATGCCGCCGCGTATTAGTGTCTTTTCTTCTGAATTATTGTAACATATTCTCGAGAAATTAAACGCACGTGGAATATTTCTCGTTTTGACCGCGTGTCGAATTTCAACTCTGCTGAACATAGATCGGGATTTGTTTCAAACTTTATACTCTAAAATCCCTGATCTCTTTACTATATCGCTACTGTAACGTATTTATATAGTTGTCGATTTGTACAAACGCATAGCATGTGTATGACACATTTTTTTATATAAAATAATTCATCTTTTATGTTTTCCCACTCCATTGTCCGCCAGAGACGACTTTACAGTTTTTGGGATCGCAATGATACACCACATAGTCTGCTAGCTGAAGGGTGACATCCCAATGCGTAGTTCACCGCAATTGGCTCTAAACGTATATATATAGGTATACAGTTACTTGGCAAAACTTCAATTGCTTCTCCGACACCATCTCGCCTTTTCCCTTCCCTCACCCGTCTCCCGAAAACGTCCTTATCACGCCCGGATTCCGCCGAGCTTCTCACTCGATTGTCTATGGCACCGGGCCACCACCTCTTTTGTTCTTCTTTATTATAACTTCCAAAAACAAAATTATATACGTTCCACATGAGACTGTGTGTGTGTATATGTGTGTGTTGCGGTCTCATCGTCTCTTCTCCTTCTATCTCTGTCACTTTTTTTTTCTTTTCTTTTTATATTTTACCGTGGTAAAACTTTTCGATGAAAACGCAATGTTATTAAATTTGAAAAAGGAAAAAAATAATAATAGAAAAAGTACGACCTCTGGAAAGTCTTCTGGAAAGTCTAGAAACCGGCAATTCTTTTAAGTATAACGTCGTACGAATTAATTTTGCATTATTTATTATTTTCATAAAACAAATAATAAAATATAATAATATTTCAAATTTCTACACCGGATCTGAATTCTAAATGGTTTGAATCTTTATTATGTAAAAAAAAACATACATATACATACATATCTATAGTTTAACAGTATACGTCCTTATGAAAAGACAACCGGGACAATCGACTCTACAACTCCGATATGATAACAATACCGGCCGAGTTACAGTGGGGATTTATTGGACGTTTGTGCTTACTATAGTGAGTATAGTACGATGTATAGTTATGTACTCCAAAAAAATAAACATAATATTATATTAAATTTTAAATTCTGAGTGCAGCGAAGAAGTTATTAGTTTTACTAAGATGTTTGTTTTTGTGTTTTAAGTTAGTAGGAAAACGTTCAGAATTTTTCACATAGTGTTTTAAGAGTCGCGGATTCACTACGTGGAACTATATTTAAACATTTTGTCTAGATGTCCTACAGTTTTTCTAGTAAATAAAAATACTGATAACAAACGAGACGACACGTCGGTTTTATTTTTGTCGAGTTACATGGTTACAAACGTATAAGAACACGACTGGTTAATTTAACAAACTCCACTCAATATCGTTTTTGTTTACGAAAGTTTTTCGTTGCTTTCGATATATTATACACTAAATTACCTTAAATCCTATAACTTTCTAATTATCCGCCCACTACAGAGGTCTACCCACGCAGGCGCGTAGCCAGAATTTCATTTCGGTGTGGAACGGGTTCCATTTTCAGAAAATAACATATTGTTATTGGGTATATTAGTTTGATTTAAAAATAAAAATGCACGTCGTTGAAAAAGTTTCGTGAGGCCCTGACCCCATGGACTACGTGCAACGTCCCTGTACACGTGGTGCAAAATATGACCAGATTTTTGTTTCGTATCAATATTCAGGCAAATAATAAAAAACTTTATTATACTTATGCAAAATTAATGAAATATTAATTATGTAGTTTAGGAAATATTGAAATGCAACACTTTGTGTTACCGTAGATTTATTCAAAAATAAATACTTCAAGTCAATTGTCTAAATAGTCAAAATCCTTCTTTTTTTTTTTTTTTTTTTAATGGACGTATTATCTTGTATTATTATTCAAATTAAAGATAATCGCGAAGAGATAGTAATTACAATTTTAATAATAACCCGCACAGATTATAAATTTCGTTACGCTATGTTACAAAAATACCTTTGAAAAACTTGGCTAATATCGATTGCGTATCAATAGGTATTTGAATACACAAAGGAAAACGCGTATACATTTACGAAATTACGATTATTGCAGGGATCCAATCACGAATATTATTGTACCGTTATAAAACTAAATAGACAAAATTATGACTTTTACCTTAAATATATACGAGATGGTTTTAAAAAGTAATAATTTTTTAAATTATTTACAGCATAGGATTGGCGGCACTATCGTATACAGTGGCGTGCGCGAGAAGTGAACGTTAGTGGTGATATCCCCTCTTCCGTTGGCTTGAAAGTACAACGACCGTGGGTTCATTCATTTTTTAATTCAATCTAAAAATTAGTATTGTATTTCTACTGAGTTACAAAGAGACTGATGATTTAATATATTGATTAAAAATTGGTACTTTCGGATTCGGCTTTTATATTTCCATAGTCGATTTGGATAGTGATGAACCTTTTACAAAACTACGCGATGGTTATTATTTTCTACATCCTCGTTCAAAACACCTGGGGCATGCGCTGCTACTCGTATATTAGATTAGAATTTTTTTTTTTTCAACTATAACTACGTAAGTACTCGAATATTTGCAGTCGACTGCAGTTATTTTTTTTATAATAATATGACGTATATATTATAATTATTATGTATATGCGACATTTTCCCGACCATTACACACGCCCGTGTCGTCGTAAGTAATAGAAATAAATGGATGTGATATGAGAAAAAAGAAAAAAAATCACACCAGAAAGATATTATACAGCACGAAAGAAACAACATTGTCGCGGCGTGTGTATACATAAAAAAAAAAAAAAAAAGGTTCTATATTGCAACACGTTTCGGTGTCAAAAACTGTTTAAAGGCAATAAATATCACATCCGCGTGTGTATAATACATTATTGATAATATCGCAATAAAAAGACGGTTCGGTATAAGTACCTACCGCCGTGTAAAGAAAATCCCGAGACATATATATTTTTTTATTACACGATTATTATAGTCTGGTACCTATACAATAAACGAGAGACTTGAGACCGAGACGAGACTATATAATATTATCAAAAAAAAGAAAAAAAACTGTGCTTTAATTTTTGATGAAACCTCCAACTTCTCACCCTCTCTCTCTCTCTTTCTTTCAAGATTTTAAATTCAGCGTTCAAAAACTATCTTAACAAATCATTCCCCAAACTTAACGGTGGTTTAAGTAGAAAAAACTTCGAGGGGAGATTATATTTTTTTTTGAATTCATGGGCGTCTCCGAGAACTAACTCGACCAAACTTTCAGGTAACCCACCTAATGCAGAGACGACAAGACTTTCAAAATGTTTTGCTCCCACACGCGTTTGTTTATAGAAATGTTATGTTAATAGGTTTTAAGAATTAACTGCCCCCACATTATACACATAATTTGCCCGCTAAGTTACAGTAAAGTACAACAGAGTCTGATTATGTATAATCCAATAGGTATTAAAGAATTTATACTTATTAAAAAACTCGGTCGCATTTTTAAAACTGATACCACAGTGGCGATAACTAAAGCTCCACCCCTCCGGATTTCGAAGATTTAAACTAAACGAGACGGACAATTTTACCTTAAACAAGAAAGGGGACTCTGCTCCTTTTTCTTTTACCATCGTGCAAAATTTTATTGTTTACAGGTTTAAAAACCCGATCGTACTTCGCGGTTTGACCAATGGTAGACCGCTGCACGTGGGCAATTGTGTCGAGAAGGTATATACATGATATACCCGGTAAAATTATGAGTTTATGGGCCGAAAACAACGAAAAACTGTGATAATAATAAAAAAAAAAAAACGATTCTCAGTGAAGCCCGTCGAACCGATTTAATACAATATATTATTGTGTTTCGAACGTGTATTTTCACATCGTTTAGACGACGAGGTGACCATCCCGGAAACCGAATGATAGATACATCGACCGCAATATCGCGTGCCGTTTGCCGTCGGCGTTTTCGATTTCGTTGATTTAGTGAAAAACTCCGTAGTACCCATAGAGCTATCGATTCGTTCGGTACCGCCGACGGGGCGAGCGAGTTCGCACCTCTCGCTCCCGTACGGTGTCGTCGGCGAGAAAAAAAAAACCCCGTCTGCCGGCCGTTATTGTTAGGAGGTACCCGCGATAATAAAACGAACAAGAACAATATTGTGTATAGGTACGCGCGCGCGAGTGTATATAAAGTGCAAGTGTATAATATTATATACTACGCACCTATTTTCATACCGGGCGCATTATACAATATTATTATTATTATTATTATTATTGCGCCGGGGAGCTCGTAAAAACGTGTTTTACGCGCGTATATCGCCCGGAGATTATTATTATTATGGGCCGTCTGTTTTATTCAGCCCGGGCGTGTTTTTGACAACGTCGGCCACCCCTACCCCGACTCTTCACACACACACACACACACCCCTCCCCCACCCATCCCTTTCTTTCAGTCCGCTCGTTACGGGTCGGTTTCGGGGATCGGTGGGAGGGAGGGGATGGGTAATGTACACTGGTGACGCGGGAGAGGGAGTGCATAAAGAAAATAGCGCGAGAATACACTTAAAGGTCGCGTGCGGAGTGTGTGTGTGTGTGCGCGACGCTTTTGTCTCATCCGCGGCGGCGGAGGTGCGGTGCAGAGATGTACAACACACATGCACCGCGGCCGCACTACATTACACCGTAGTCGCGTAACAGCGCACGCGCACAGACTCGCGATTACACGTAAGTAGGCGTAGCTGTACGTCTGAATTGTAATATTATTGTTATTTACGGAAGAGAACGTCGGTGCGCGTTCGCGATTGTCACGTACACGCGCGGATGTGTAAAAAGTACCCGCGGCATTTACCTATATTATCATACCGTATAGAAAGCGCGAACATTTGAAACTGCCGTCGCGAAAATATCGCGGTAATGGTATACACATTCGTAAAATGGTACACTGATTGACATATATTCTTCGGTTGTCCGATTTCAACCGCCGCGACCGTTTACGAATGCCTTACGGAGTTTTGATGTTTTTTTTCAAACTTTGTCCGTGTTTCGCGCCCGATTCCCGTTGGACCTATACTTTGGTCAATAAATCAAATTGGAAGGGGTCCGCTATTTCCTTTCGCCTGGCGCGTTTATTTTTTACCAGACCGTCCCTTCTCCTCTGTCGGATGTTCAATTTCTTCGATATTGATGCGCTAGTTCTATATATAGTAGCCCGTCCACCGGAACGCGGGCCGTTTCTCTATACTGTGCCATTTATTAGTACCAATACCGAGGGGATGTAAACGAAAAATATAATAACATAATTCATAATATTATAAGCTAGTTAAGGTTAAATCCCAACGACGATAATCGTCATAGTAAACGAAATACGATTTTTTTTTTTTTTTTTTTTTGCGACAAGAAAGCTATTATGCAATTTTCGATTGGATTATCTGCAGGTCTATCTGTAACGTATATTAAAATGGATCGTCGGAAAGAGAAAAATGCGGGCGGCTGTCGTCGTCGTCGTCACCGTCGTTAATAATTCCGCCACAGCCACGCCAAACTGTCGACTCATCGAACGACCGACGATGTCCTCGATTCTTGGGGTGTCGGTGTACACGAGGGTAGATGACGGTCGGTAAATTTATGCACCGGCGCCACAACCAACTAATCTAGATTTTTTTTTTTTTTTCTTCACTAGCTCTCAACTTTCTGAAAACACTCTGGGAAATCATTTCTACCGACAGACAATATTAATATATCATATTTTTTACGAAACAACGAATACCGTAACCGAATACTATACTAATGTAATATTATAATAATATTGTATGTACTAATAGTTATGATTCTATCAAATAAATGGTGAGTATAGAAGTTAAAAGTCAAAACCCTCAAAAAGCACATCAATGATACCAACGCCGTACGCATACAAAATCGAATACCCTTGGCTTCGTATGGAAAGTCTGTAGGGATTTACGCAACTAAAAAACACCCTTCATCCGCCGCAAAACACTGTTAAACCCATATTGGAAATCAACCAAACTTTTATCACTTCAATCCACCTAATATAAAACTACACTAACTTCCGGGATTGTGTACACTCGGTCCAGAGGGAACCACGCGAAATGTAATCCTAATCCAACCTAAATATAAATATAAAAAAGAAAAACAACAGTGTAATACATAATAATCTCTGTTTATGAGTAAAATGTGATAAAAAAAAAAAAAGTTTTTTTCAAATTCTGAGCGGGAGTTTAGGAATGTATTGGTTGTACAATTATATTTATTATTATTATTTTTTAACCTGTGAACAACTTTTGTACTAGAAATTTTGTTCAGATTTTCAAGTGTAGTACTTTTTCTGAATGGATATCCGACTGGGGTGGTAATTTCTTTGATTTTCCCAAGAATTTCCTTAATAAATGGGAAACACGGGTTAATTAACGAAATGTATTATTTTAAAATCTGAAATATCAATCAACCTTTCAAAACACGTGTACCCGAACTCCGTTCAGAATTGTTTTTACATTAGCAATGGTTAATATTCGCGTACAGATATACATTAAAACTCCTCTCTACCTTACCAACGTCTCAACTACAACAGTGACCCACCCTTTGTGCGAAACATGTCCGTTTGTTATTATTATTATTATTATTTTTTTTTTTTGAACGACAACGACGAGCAAAATAATAATATAGCGAA